AGCCGAGTAAGTACTGAGCTCGAATACACATAGCTGTTATCTGATCTAAAGACGGAGGCCCCACTCGAACCTTCTTGCTTTTCTGCCTTCATCCATCATGCTTTTAAGGAAATATCAGCCCAACTCTAGGAACTTTCAGACATATTCTGATACAGTCATGTCACCCTGGACTAGGTATGCAAACTCCATTTCTTTCATATGTTAGAGATGCTCTAAGAGGTACTCTGCATTAAAGGCCATCAAGAATTGTTCCTAAGTGACTGAAACGGATAGGGTGGCCTACTTGAGTTGCCACCAGCGGCCTGCTTCTCCAACCAGTATGTAGGCGGCAAGTATGACTTGTTGTTCGGGAATCACCCCAAGAGTCGTGAAGGCCTTCTCTGTCTCAGTTAACTAGTACTTAGCCTCTTCAAAGGAGGATCCCCTTACAAAAGTAAATAGGTTTAGTCTTTTATACCTCTTAATATGGTATAAGTCCATCATAGGAGGAACTGGGTCCCGTGAAAGAAGGACTGGATTGTGCTAGGGATGAACTGGATGGCCCTGTGGTGGTATTGGATGATACGATGGAGGTACCGAATTGTATTGTGGTGGTGTCAGGTGATACAGTTGGGACACCGAGTTATATTGTGGTGGTGTCGGGTGGTACTATGGTTTGAGCACCGCATCATACTGTGGTGGTGCCGGATGGTACTATGGAGGAGTAAGGTCGTACCGGGGTGGCTCAAGATCCTCCCACTGTAAGGGTGGCTCAACTTGTGGTAGTGGAGGAGGGTCAGGTAGCTCCCTCCTTTCCTCCCGGGCCTGTTGGGTAGCGATGAGTCTCTCCAGCATTTCAAATAATCGATCAACATCCTCTCAAAGTGAACTCTCCCGAGCTACTTGCTTTAGTGGGGGTCTTCATCTCCTCATCTATCTGTACCTGTATTTCACAAGGAATGGTTGAGCGATTATTCATTTTTTGGTGTTTCATCATATTTTTATGTAAGGAATGGTTTTGAGGAACACGGCTCTGATACCAACTGTAACAACCTGGAACATGAAAGGAAGTAAATTATAAATTAAGTGCAGAAGCAAATTAATAGCGTTAGGGTTTACATTCCTTATACAATAATTCTGAATATGCGATAGGGGTATAGGAATGACAATTCTAAAGGAACAACTAATAATCAATAAAATAAATGAAAAATAAACAAACTAAACGTTCTACTCGCAACTCTTTTGTAGATTGGGATATGAATCTTGGTCCTCTTGATCTGTAATGATTAATGAAAGAGTGAGCTATACTAGCTCAACAAGAATATCACATTACTCACCGATACAGAAATAAAGGTTGGTACAAATCATGAAAATAACTAATTGAGATCTTATTTTAAGCAAATTCATTTATCATAAGTAAAATAATTTATTGTACACTTACCATAGTGAAATTTTCAAAACTGACCTATAGAGTCAATGGTACAAACAATCTCATAATCTCATGTACAATTAACCAGAACAACAATCTTTTCTTTTTATCTGCCTTATTGGATATCTTGGGAGATGGTGGATGGACCGGGTACATAAGAAACTCTACCGTGAACGTTGCCTCATACCGGACGAGGTATGGAGAATTGGTACTTTGGCTCTCATATC